ACACACACACACACACACACACACACACACACACACACACACACATTTGTACATCTTTAACATTAAAGCAAACACTGTTAAAGAGAAATTGGTTATTTTTCTCAGCTTGCAAAGTGCAGTTTTCTTAGTCTAACCCCAGAGGCTAGATGTACCTTGAGCACGGATGAGGTTATTCAATGCAACACGGAGGGGAAGAAGCATATTAGAGAAACAGAGAATGTAAAATGGTAAGGGGCTTTGAAAGGATTGCTGTAGTTTTATCTCTTATACAATGCTTCTTAAGGAAATTAGCCTCTAAAGCTTTGGAGGTAGCCATGTAAACCTAATTTTTGAGTTGGAATATAAATTTGAATTATATATAATATCTTGGGGAATATTTAATTAACATGTATTTGATTTGCAGAATGAGGGTGGAAAATCAAACTCAACTCTAATAAAGAATGAATTGAAGACACTTCCCATGATGCTTTGGAATCAAGCATCCTTCAAGTTAGTTAGACTTTTGGGCATCCACATTGGTCAGCTAGTGACTGTTATGTTTAGAATATTATACCTGTATGAAGCAAGGAAGAAGAAAAAATGCTAACAAATAGTTGCAAGAGCCTATAAGCTGTGTAACCCTTTCATCCACGGAAACAAACTGTCATTCATTGTAATCATGTCTTCTGACAATGTGACTTTAAAATGACAGATCATTCATTATTGAGACTCAGATGCTTTGCAGTGGGATTATTTCTCCAGAAAAGACTCACTTAAAAACACAGTAGCTTGTTAGGACAGAAAGCACTACAGAGAGAAGGAATACATGCCCTCTGTGAAGATTTTTAATCTCAAGGATTTAAAAGTTAAACTGGCTTCTGCTAGGGGGCCTTGGGGAGTGGGATAAAACCCATGGGAAGGGGGACAGGGTAATATGAAGGTAGAAAGGGCAGGACTACAAATGGAGAGGTTTCAGTGGGGAAGAAATTAGGTAGTTATGGCAGAGAAGATTTGTAGAGGAATAACCAAGACTAAGGGTGTGTGCAAAAGCCATATGGAAACGTACTTTATAAGCATTAAAAATACAATTTTAAAAACCAAGTTTAAAGGAAGGTACCCTACACAGCATGATAACTCTCTACCCACAAGACATAAGTCATTAAACAAAACTCTGAGTTCCAGATGTGGGGTTTCCCCTTCTATGTTGCTGATCAGGGAGCTGCCATAGGTACCCAAAGCAATACAGTCTATTGACATTGCCCTGAGTGTCCACTAGAGCTTCATGCTAAGACTCTATTGCTGAACACTATACACTAGATATGGGGAAAATCAAACAGAAATGTATCTGGAAGCTTCTCTCTGCTGGTTAGCATCAACAGTGCTGGAAGGTGCTATAAAGGCTGCTGAGGAAGAAAATTCACTTACAGTCTTACCCAGCTGTAAACATTTTGAACTGCAATAACAATCCACCTGGCAGGAGGTATCCATTGGTGCCATAGTAGCATATATGTGACGGGATAACCAAGAGCTTTCTGACTGGATTCCATGCCTACTCTAACAGAGGGAAATTATGTCTGGTACAATAAACCTGCTCAGGAGCTGGTGACTGGGGAAATCCCTGGCCCTTAGGAACACACTGTATTGTTTTGTTAGGGGACATGTAGTCTGATTGCCTTCTAAATATTCATGTTTATATCCACAAATTAGTGCTTCTCAAGCCTTATCAGAGAAGGTTTTTACTACAGTGCACAGTGGCTAATGCAGAGACAGTAACTGGTGAAAATGCCGAGTGTCAGGGGCTATAGAGTGCTCAACCCTGAAGGCGATGTCTATATCACTGGCTCCAAGCTCAGAGGACAGTGTAGGAGAGGGGGTGAAAAGAATGGGAGATGGGAAGGTGTGTTGCAAAAAACAAACAAAAACTTTTCTATATGAAGTAGCTGCTGTAGTTGTGAATTCCTTTCAGCTGTGTTTACCTGGACAAACCCTGCACAAGATAAGGCCTGTCAATATTTCATCATGAGTCCCCACTTCTCCCAGAGGGCACATAGACAGTTAATGGCAGCTTGGAAAAGTGATGTCACTTTTTTTCATGGTGTAGGCACTGATAAGTTGCCTAGGCCTCTTTAAATAACCTTCCACCTATGCTCATGCAAGCAATCCTAATTAAGTTCAGTGGGCCACAAACATTCCAAAGAGACATGAAAGAAGGAGGAGCACTTACTGAAAAAGAAAGGCCAGAGGGAGAGAAGGAGGAGGGGGGAGGAATGAGAGAAAAGAATGGAGGAAGAAATGATGAAAATTTACACACACACACACACACACACACACACTACTGTCAATGAATAAAAAATAATTGTGTTCTACATAGTGTATGATAGCAGTGAGGCTTCCTCTTCCTTCTCTTTTATCAATGGAGTGCTCAATATTTCACTGTGAGTTTCAATGAGAACAACAAAAGAGCAGGGGACATATGTTATTGCACAGTGATTCTCATGTGTGTCATGACCCCTTTGTGGGTAGAATGACCCTTTCACAGGGATTTCATATCAGATATCCTGCATATCAGATATTTATGGTTATGCACCAGAACAGTACAAAATTACAGTTATGAGGCAGCAACAGAAATAATTTTATGATTGGGGGTTCACTACAACAATGGTAACTGCCTTAAAGGGTAGCAGCATCAGGAAGGTAGAGAACCACTGTGCTAGCATGTCTGCCACACTATGGCCAACTCTGCACATACAGTAAACAGAGTGTGGTCTGGAATGACAGAATTTCTGAACATTTTCTGCTTCTTGCATCCTGGCACCCAGGTTTCATTGCCTGTGCCTGCACAGCCAGAAGAAAGAGCAGGAGAAAGGAACGCTCTAGGTGTGTGCTTAGGAGGAGCTCTTGGCTCTAAAAAGGGAAAATGAGTTGGCTGAGCATTTTAAGAAGGAAAAATGTGACTTTGAACAAAGGGAGGCTGTGAAGTGACAGCACCTTGTCATTTTTAGGGAAGGGAGAGAAGAGAGGATATGGTGATTGTTAAGCAAGAGAAAGCCTGCATCCATTTTAGCACCTTACATGGCAGCATTTTGAATAGGCCACTCAAAAATACTGATGAACAAATACACCGAGGCTGTACCAAAATTAGACTCTCAGGAGGTCTGAGTAGTGCACAAATTATAATAGATCTATTTCTAAGTCACACAGAACCATCTCCTTTTCAACTGAGAGGCATCTAAGACACTGCAGATTAACTGGACTGTGTCTGGTAAAGATGGACGGAGGCAGGCTTTCTGCACTGCTGCCTCAAAAGGATTTCCTCAAACACATGGTGAAATCTCAATTATTTTTCCATTAGCATTCTCTGGGTAAAGACTTTCATTTTCTTTGCTCCTGCTGGCAAGTAAGAACTGCTTGGTGTGCATATTTTAAATAACAGTCATACTGAATTAACTTTAAGATCCAGCTCTTCACATAATAGATGCATTAAAATGCACTGGCAAATGAGAAGAAAACAAAGATCTCGATGCACATGAAAAGCAAAGCGCTAGAGGTGATAAACATTACAAGCGTCTCAGTGTCTTCTAAGCCTTGGATTATGGTAAAGGCTTTGAGAACTGATCCAAGATCGTTAATGTGTAGCCAATGGTGTGTTAAGCCTATCTAAACCTTCTGGCTGAGGAAGGCAGTGCCTGAAACTGTGTTTGCAGATGGATGCAGGAGTGTCCATTCAGGGGTACAGTCAGTGCACTTACCACAGATTCACCAGAAAAGGATGCTCCAGTCCCTGCATGATCTGGAGTTCCTTGAAGACATTCCTCACTTCATTGCGTTCCACACACTTCTGTTTATTCATGTACTTCATGGCATACATCTTCTTGGTATCATTCTTCTGCACGATGCAGACCTGATGATGTAAACCCAGGTCAGCAAATGGTTAGGGAGAAGGAAGAGTGTGACTGAGGGACAAAAAGCAGGATTTATTCCTTAGCATGGCATAGGGCCCTTGTCATTCTCTGGGATTAAAGTTCTTATTTCACTCAGGGTAAAGATTCCATTTTCTTCCCCTGTGTATTTAGTACATCAATAATTGAATCTCTGCTTTCTGATATTAGTTTGCCTGTATTTGCTCCTGGCATCTTCGAGACAACATTTAAATCTGCTTCCATGTTAAGAATCTTCTGATAACAAATAGCACCCTGGATCCTCCTTTAAGTGGCTGGAATGGATGTGACGAGAGAGGTAAGAAAAAAATAACAACTAGGCAAAGTTTTTCTTTTCCAGCATAGGTGACATAATAGAAAAGAGTGAGCATGAGGAAACAGCTACACAATTGTTCACGATTTGTTAATTCTTTTAGAGGCCTATACAAACTCCTAAAAACAACATGCAAATTTAAGATGAAATCATTATTTTATCTTAAAGTATGTCTCCACGGAGAAACTATTAGTCAGAGTTTGAAGAAAACAGAATATTTCTACAGAAAGGTGGACCATATATATTTTTCATGGTAGCATTTTTGAAAATGGTATATTATATAGAAATTAAGTGGTTTCCTTCTCCCATGAAAACATTACGCCTCACATTAATAAGATAACTCTTACTGACAAATTTGCAAAAGAATCTGAAATCTTAACCTTCTTTAGGGTAAAGAGACAACTCCCCAGCACCCCTGACAGTAGGCAGATGTGACTTGAACAAAGTAATACTGAGCACATGACTTATCTTATAGTTGGCTTGCATTACCTGATGGTGACAATTTTGTAAAAGTGCATTCTAAAACATTCCCGAGTTAATCTATCTTTATCATGCCAGTACTATTCTCTGACTCTGTCCATGACCCATAGCTCTGCAGGTAGTTGGACAATTCAGTTCTTACCTTCCCAAAACTTCCCTTCCCAATGGCTCGCAAAATTTCAAAGTGATCAAAGTTGACTGTAAAGCAAGAGAACAAAGAATATTAGGAGTTACTATAAACTACTTTTTAACAGCTAATCAAAGAAACAAGCATTGAGCTAAATCAAAGTGTCTTGTCTAAAATGACACAGCAAACTAGTTAAAGTACCAACTTATTCATTGAAAATGACTTATTAGCCACTAATCTCATGTAGCCACCAAGCTTAGGTAGTGTTAAGAGGATGAAAATGGAGAGTCTACGTTTATGAATCCTGCGTTTATGAATTCTAATGATATTATATAGAGTGCTTTGAAATGAAGTACTCATAAAAATAAATGGAAATTTAAAAGTGCACTGAGCCCTAGGAATGACAGAGGCAGTGGGGCTGTCTCTAAGAACACAGAACACTTATTTGCCTAAAGACACTGAAGGAGTGTCTCTGACACTATGTGTAGAGGGGCACATAGCTTCATGTAAAGCAGTTATGCTTTCAACTTTTGTTCTGCTTGCCTATTTTGCCCCACCTCACTCTCTTGTACCGAAATGATGTCAGTTTCCCCAAGTAGTAAATTAATACACCCATAAGTTCACAGAATGAACCCGTCTCCAGCTTACAGATGAGGATGTCCATGCAGGTCCACTAAAGTGAGCTTTGAAGATGAGATGCTCTACATGTGCTCTTTTGCATTCATAGTGCCTCACGATGAGAAGAGATACCCACTATAAACACACATGATCTTTCAGGTTTAAGCTTATAAAATAATTCCTGATAAGGACAAAATTCAGACTCTCTCTGGCAAGTGGCAGTCTTTGGTCTCTTGCCCTGACGACCTTAAGAAAGTGTATTTCTTGGTTTTGAAATATGGATTTAGATGCACAAATTCAAAGTGAGAGATTTAAAGAGCTTCCTAAGGAAGCAGTGTGAAACACTAGAAATATCTCTCATCTCCTAGAAAATTTTGCATTATTTTTATGGGGATGTTAACATGCCATAGCACATGTGTGCAGGAGAGGGGACAGATTGGAGGAGCCACTTCTCTCTTTCCAGAATGTTTGTTCTCTGGACAGCTCAGTTGGTCATTCTAGTGGCAAACACCCTTACCCACTGTGCCATCTGTCCAGCCCTCTCTCAACCCATGAAGAGTTATTTTCTGTCTTTATCATCAACAATTAGCTTCTTTCCCCATGAAGGAAAAAGGAGATGGTCAGGGACTCCAGAAGGTCTCTGGGTTTTCTGAAGCTCACATATTTTTATAGTGACTTCACTACTTCCTCTCTGAACTTCCTTTATTTTTCTTTTGCCAGCACAAAATCTATTTAATCATGTGTGATCATAAGTCTACTTCTGTGGACTTATGTTTTACAAATGGTCCACCCTAGACTTGGACCCCAAGCAGCAATGTGTTTTGATAGGAAAAACAGCCTCACTTTCTCCATATTCTCCCCCGAAAAATCTCCTAGATGAGAAAACATCTTTACCTAGAAGGGAAAGATAAAGTTGTTTCCTTCCTGAAGCATTATTCATGTGAATGACTCATCTACCACAGCATACGCTGCAGGACAGACTGTATGTCATTTTGTGCACACTGGTTTCCCTGCAGCCTAGGAAGATTACCCACTGAGGCAGGTGAAGCCATAACTCTCTGTAGCCCCTGCAGAGTCTAGTATCATGATTTATACAAGTTCAACTCCCAGGATATTTATCAAACTAAGCCATAAGGACATTCAAGAACCCCCAAACAATGGAGTCTTGTAAATATGAATAATGTGAGCATTTGGACCATCTCAGGGAACATTTTGCTAACTGTGAGTGAAATCCCATTAATAAGTTAAGAAACAGGTTTGGCATTCATAAGAAACATTAAAGTTTTAAAAGGAATAGAATAGAAAGTACCAGAAATTACTCAAATGGGATATGAGTAGAATGTCACCTCTGAAACATTTATTTTATATACGTGGGTAGATATTCAATTTTTGGTACATGCCTTACCTTGAGCTGTCATGAAAATAATTAGCAAAATGCTTTTATACATCTTCTCTCAAATTACACATTGACATGAGCAGATCAATGACTTTTTAGACTCACTACATGAATCTCAGGAATATATTACTTACCATGGTAACATTAAAAGAAATTGACCAGAATTTGTTTGCAAACCCAAGATTTTATCTTGAGCAAATCCAGAAACTCGATATGACCTTTTTTCACTAGTAGCCTAGGAGGCTTCAACAATGTCCCTAATCTCCACGCATGCAGCAAGTACCTGGGAAGCTTGAAGTCTCATTGCAGCATTAATTTATTTCATAGTCACGTCTTCTTCTAAATCATTTTAAGCACTAGCCAAAAATAGTAAGTGATTACATGTCAAAGTTCCTAGTAATATGTGAAAGGAAAAGTACCAGCTCAGGACCCCAAGACCAAGTTCTCAGCACAAAGGAGATTTCTTTGTCCTAGAGGGGAACAGAGGACTGTCTCTGGATAGAGGAGACAAACATAACACATAGGAAAATGGCAGTTTGTAAAGGTCTGAGGAGAAACCCCATGTTGGGATGGGTATTCCATTTAATTAGGTGAGCCAAAGGGGACTTTTGATTGCTGAATTTCAATACTGGACCCTTGTAGTCAGCCTCAGGAGGAAGACGATTGGCCAAATAAGGGACTAGACTTGGGGGCTAACTTCAGGAATGCAATCAAATGGTTTTTTAGCAAGGCAGAGGAATTGGGGGAAAGGGAAAGGCCCGCCAGAGCCAATGCTCAAGTCAACTAGTGTCCCTTCAGCTTTATCCTGGAAAAACTTCCTAATTTAATGTGCCTTCCTAAATGTCATTTCTCAGAAAGTTCTGAGGAGAAAAAATAAAGATAGAAAATACATCTTGTGTCTTATGAATTAAAGAGAGAACAGACTCAGAGATAGTTCTAGGCCACCCCAAATCCCTCCTCCCTGGAATACAGCCTAGGGAGAAAATCAGTGATGATCAGAAGTGATTTGGAGGGTTTGGGAGACGGTTCAGGGATTAAGAGCACTGGCTGCTCTTCCAGTTTACCCAGGTTCAGTTCCTAGCACCCACATGGTAGCTCACAATCTTCTTTAACTCTAGTTGCAAGGGATCTGATGTCCTCTTCTGGCCTCTAAGGGCACCAGGCATGCTTGTGGTACACAGATGTACATGGAAGCAAAACACCTATACCCGTGTTTTTAAATGATTTTTTTTCTTTTTAACTGACTGCAAGACAAGCTCTAAATTGACTACAACTACAACATTCCTTCTAAATGTCTAACAACACAATCACCAGTTAGTAAGAAAGCTGATTTGAAAATACAACCAAACTTCATACATTGTGACAGTACCATAATGAAAGAGACAAATTCAGAATTGTAGATTTCCAACAGAAATCCCATAGTGATTTTGGGCGTATAGTGTTTGCCTTTCTGATTCTGAAAGCAGGCTCTTCCACTGTCTTTCCAGGCACTATAGTGTTTTTACACATCTACCCACTCCAACTGGAGACCCAGGGAGAACAACCTGGAACTTTCCCTCTCATTTAGAATGGTTTGAATCAAATTATACTCCCTAAGTTTTTCCCTACACAGAACCTTTCTGGCTCTAAGACACATTACTGATGGTGTTATCCATCTCTTTATTTCTTTTACTTCACTCCACCCCCAATCTCAACATTTTGTGAAACTAACATTATTGAAGGAAGAAAAGAGGACCACCCCCTTTCAGAATCTGAAATAATACCCTGACACTACGGCTTTGCAGAAGGAGGTTCTAGAAAGTGAAGCGACACATCTTCGTTAGGATATTTTGAGATAACAATATTTGAAAACCTTGATTCCAGCCTTCGGAAGTAGCAAATCGTGAACATATGTGAGTCTATTGAGAACCAAGTCCCACAAACTGCTTATGTAAATCTTCCTATTGATGATGGAACAAGGACACCAGCTGTGTGACCCTGGACATGTTACTCAGTCTTTCCAAATCACAATGTCCCATCTGTAAAATGGAGCTAATTAAACCCAACAGGCACGATGCTTCCAAGATGAGACACTGTAAGCCAGAAGTGTAGTGTCTGCCCTGATGAAATCTGAAAATGACAATCACTTTTAAACGTGCAATTATTCAATGGAAATTGGGCCTTATTTTCAAAGTTTCAATTCTGTTGCTACAATGCAACCACTGTTACAAACCCTAGGTGTCCTTTAAGGGTTTTTCTCAGCATGTGTGTGTTCCTTTCTGGCAGCAGAACCATCATTGGGAAAAGAGCAGGTTTTCTAGCAACTCCACTGTGTCCATCCATTCATACAACATACAGAGATCTAATTATTTTAAGCTGCCCATTTTATTCCATTGTCTCAAAATACTGCACTTATTGATGAGTATTGAAAAGTGATTTAATTATCTACTACCAGCAACACTACCTGGGATATCCTTGATGGGCTTTTGTGCATATGTTTGTAGGCTTCATTTATGCCAACTTTCTTATTTGAAGATACTGCCAGTAGCCCTGCAAAGATACTGCACCAATCCCCCTTCATATCAGTGATATACAAGAATGTCTTAGTTTGTCAGGAGCCAGCTCTGGTGAGATATAAAAGTCCCCTTTACAGAGGCTTGGTGACCTCCATGCTAAACCGTCAATTAGTCAAGCACCCCACCCCTTAGGTTAGTGTTCCAGATAACCACAGGAGGTTCCAGACACCTGCTCTGGCCTGAGAGCAATTAACAACCATTCCTCCCCCACTAATTCTTTCTCTGCTTCCTCCTTTCTCTTTAAAAACCCCTTGTTTACAATCAACAAAGAGACCTTGACAAGGAAAAACTGCTTGGTCTCAATTTTCTTTCCTGCCCATTATCTTCAGGCTTAGTCCACCTTGGTAATTCGTCCACCCACGAATTACCAGAGCCCCTCGGGCTGGGGCATTAGTTAGGGTTACTATTACTATGATGAAACACCATGACCAAATGTAACTTGGAGAGGAAAAGGTTTATTTGACTTATACTTGCACATCACTGTTCATCAAAGGACAACAGGACAGGAACTCAAATAGGGCAGGATCCTAGAGGCAAGAACTGATCCAGAGGCCATGGAGTGGTGCTGCTTACTGATTTGCTCTCTCTGTCTTGCTCAGCCTGCTTTCTTACAGAACCCAGGATCACCAGCCTTGGGGTGGTTCCACCTACAAAGGGCTGGGCCCTCCCACATCCATCACTAATTAAGAAAATATCCTACAGGCTTGCCTTCAGACCAAACTTACGTAGGTGTTTTCTCATTGAGGCTTCCTCCTTTCCATTGACAATATCCTGTGTCATGTTGACATAAAACTATTCAACAGGAGGTAATTTTTAACTTGCCAACACTGCTACACACAATTGCTTTGATTCGACAAGATAAAAAGATGTATATATTGACTTACTTTATGTCTTTAATGAGTGAAGTTGTATGGGTAGGTTATATATTTTTCAGTAAACTGCCTATTCACATATTTTGCCTTTTTGAATTACTTGTTATTCATTTCAACTTGCATGTGCACTTAAATTTAAGTAAATTAGTTCATTATAAAATATCAGGTCAAATTTTCTTGGCTATCCCATTGAATACATTTAAATAATGGAAGTCTTATAGTCAAATGTATCAATCTTTTTTTTTTTTTTTGGCCTTTCTGAGTTTGTCTTTTTTATTTCAAAATTGCTTTTACAAATATGTCCCTATATTTTAAATTAAAAGCTTTTTTATAGAAAGATGGGCCTACTAATTAATCATTTTAAGAAGAATACTTGTGCTCTGGTTGGGAGGGTGTGAGAATGCCACCACATACATACAACTAGAGGTCATGGGACAATGTGTTGAAATCAGTTCTCTCCTTCTGGGTCATTGAACTCAAGTTGTTGGGCTTGGAGGCAACTTCCTCCACCTGCTGAGACATCTCACTGGCCCATCAAAGCTTTTGACATGAATCTGTGTAACTGGTTTTCTATTCTCTCATCCATAGAGCCAAAAAGTTTCTAAATCCCAATGTTTTCAAGAACTTAAACAAATCTGGGTGTGTGGATGCTTATGCCGTTTGAATGGCGGATGCACTGACATTCTTTGCATGACTATCGGCTTCAAGTAGGTCTTCTGAATCTTGCTTATGCTGATAACTTTTGGGTAAATGTTTGTTTACAAAGTACAGTGCTAACTTCTAATGGCTCATGGTCCCAGGCACTGGTATATTAAGTCAGGACAGTGTGACTCAGGTTAAGAGCACCAAAATAAAGGTAAGTTTCTAATCCTAGAAATGGGGAAAAAATGAAACAGAAATCCTACCTGCCTTTTTTTTTTTCTGCTCATTTTCCCACAATCTTTCTATTTAAATGTGGTGTTATTTGGTTCTGTGCTCTGTAGAGATAAAGTCAATTCAACATGAAATCATAATTGCTCAGCTGTTCACACACCCTGCTTCATCTCTCCAGCCTGAAAAGCCTTTATTTCCCTTCCCAGGAGAACAGAAGAACAAAGTGTGGTAAAGTTCAGCAAAGACATTGCTCATTGAACTGGGCTCATTGGAAATACAGTCATTGATGACCCAGTCAGCAGCTATGAGCACTGTTTTAGGCCCTGAGAAGTCTATTTGGCTGATGGAACTTTCAGTCTAATGGGATGAGAAAATAATTAATCATAGTCACCATCCAACCTTATATAAAGGATACCCATCGTTATTCTAAGCATGTACCATAATTATCCCATCATTCCACGATTTCTACAAAACAGCACTACTATAATTGCTATTCTTTTTTAAAGATGGGCCAACTGCAGCAGAGAAATTAAGTTATTTTTTCAAGGCCAGAGTAGCAGAGTAGTAGAGTGAAAGTTCAGATGGACTCTCTACCTCCCATCCCTGTTCTCTGCTGCCTTCCATTAAACATAATCAACTGTATCTGCCAATATTTTGCATATGAAATAGAATAAGCCACTGAGTCTGTCAAGGCCTGACTTCCCACAGCACTTATATTCCTGTTTCCACTTTTCTTAAGTAGGTATTTGTAGTTTTGATGGGTGCTATCTTGGAAGCCATGTCCCACAAACTACTTGCAGTCATTCAATGACTGTCAATCATTCCATCCCTCATCCCTAGTCAGAAGCCTTGGTCTAGATGTTAGCCATTCTATTCTGTATCCTTACACTGTTTTCCTGACCTGGAAATGTATGTTTTTCTCTCTCTGCCACTAATGTCCAAAAAATGAAAATAACTGGCTAGACATAGAGAAAAGGGGACCTCACTTCAACAGAAAAAAAAGCCAGTATATGCCATACAATGGAATCATAAGGTAGCAGCACACCCAAATGGCATTGAAATGTCTGGCTTCATGTTTAGAAAGATCTGATTTTGATTTCCATCCAGGTATCTCCAATATTCTTTAATTAACTCTAATTTTATCTATTTATTTGATTTATTTTGAGACAGGGTCTCATGCAGTATAGGCTGGCATCAAACCCAGTGTGATCTTGAATTGTGATCTTCCCAAGTACTGGACTTAAAAGCATTTGTCATACCTGGCCAATATTAACTTTCAAAATTAAAACTAACTCAAATTCAAAGTAATGCTGATGTGATTACTCTAGGAAGATCAGAGTCCTGCAAAGAAATCAAGTTTCACCATTCCAGGGAGCCCATTGAAGCACCCTTAAGGAACTGCTCTAAATGTCTGGTCTATCTCCTTCTTACAGCGTTTGCTCATCGTTTCATTGAATCATTGGTATCTTCATTTGTTTCCTGCTACTATAATATAGTTTCTGAGACTGGAAATTTATTAAGAAAAAGAAACATAGTTTTACTCCACTGCTGGTTCAGAGGCTGGGAATCCCAAGAGCAAGCTACTATTGTCATGTGGCTAGACTTCCATTGGATTATAACATGGCACAAAGGATCACGTGGTGACACAAAGCACACATATGCCAGATCACATTGCCTTCTCTTCTTGAGCATGATATCACCTCCTGCCAGGTACGTCTTCTCTTCATCATCTTATACAGACACCAGTCCTGTCATGTTGTCATCTTGATGACCTTATCTGATTCAGTTATATCCCCAAAGCTCCACTTCAAATACTATCACCATTTGATCTTGGTATTGAGCTCCCAGTACAAGAAAATCAGGGACTCATTGAAACTATAGCAACTGAAGTATCAGAAAGAATCTCAGGAAAAGAAATGAAAATTTTCTGTGTCCCTTTTTTTAGAGGGATATGAACAGGCATTTGTTGAATCTCAATAGGATACAGATGACAACCAAAGAAACAATCCCAGGCAAGTCTACCTGGGAGTTGATTGGGGTTACCTAAAGGAATATCTGTCACTCAAAGACAGTTGCATCACTGCAAAGGTGACTCAGGAAACCTCGATCCCCGGAGCTCCCTGCACAGGCTGTGGGCATCAACTGATGTGAGAGTCTCTCTTTATTCAGCAATTTTAACTTCTTTTATCATCTTGGGAGTCCGTGAGCCCACAGTTTCTGCTAGAACCTGCCTAGCACAAGTCTGCATGGATTTCTTTATTTATTTATTGTTCTATACAGTAAAATACACAAGATTTCTAAGGTTGCAAAAAAATCTCTTCTTAGTTTAGAAGATTAAAAAAGTTTCAGAGAAAAGCAATACTCATCTGGCTTTCCAAAACACAGAGCAGTTTAACAGCCAGCCAAGCAAAGAAGGGCAGGGAGGGGGCACTTACAAAGAGACTCATATCCCTAGGAGAAGAGATTGTTAAGGGACAAGTGATTGAAATTATTGCCTCAAATCTCCATTTCCACCCTCATCCCATCTTGAATCTCAAGAAAATTTATGGTTTTGCACATAAAGAATTGATAAGACATCTACACTGCTTCCAGCATGCCACATCCTGAGTCATATTTATTATATTCATATCTGCATGCATGTGTATCATCCATACACATTAATACACATTATTTTATATAATCTTGCCCAAACATTGTGAAATAGTAATATCATTCATGTTTTGTTGATAAGTTATAAACACCCAGGAAATGAAATCCAACAATATAGGGGCTTAGACTTCAGCCCAACTTTGTATGACCCCAAGTTCCATTTTTCAATATTATGATTAGCCTGAAATTTAGAATACATTAGCAAAGCTATGGAACTCTTGTGTTTGGATTTTGGCTATGCTACTACTAAGGAGTTAGCAATATTAAGCATGTCTCTTTATTTCAACTTCTGCTTCTGTAAGATTCTTATCACATATAGTCCAGCTTCTAAAATTATTATAGAGTCTTGGAAACTTAAGTTATAGCAATGGTGTGGATCAAGTGTTTTCAGCAAAGTAGGAGCCAACAAAGGAATTATTAATATTCCTGCTTATAATTTTGCTATTGTTACTAAATAAGTTATCTTGACATCAGACCAGAATTTCTCCTTTATTAACAAAATATTAAGTGAAATGATGGAAAATTTGATAGAAGAGATTCAGTGCCAAGAATAGAGGCAGAGTGAAGAAAGACATCAGATAAGCCTCCCCCCATGTCACATCACCTAGAGCCAATCAGAAAGCATGTAAAAACTTGGCAACTAAAAGAAGGGAATGAAGTGCCAGGACCAGGGTGTTTGCATGGCTTTGGAAAAAATATGAAACAAGTTTTGATCATCATTTCTTAGCCACACCAACAACTTGTTGTTAAAAGACACCTTGGGACAGCAGGATGGCTCAGCAGGTAAAGACAAGTGCTACCAAGCCTAACAACCTGAATTTGATCTCCAGGACCCAGATGATGAAAGGAGAGAACCCATTTTTGCAAATTGCCCTCTGACCTTCTGAAACACACATACACATGTGCTCATGTATGCACACACACACACACACACACACACACACACACACACACACACACACACCACAAATAAAATGAAAATGTACTAAGACTTCGTAGTGAGGTAGACAGTAAGTCTATCATTCAGATGGCTTTCTGATACCATTACAAGTACAGATTTCTTAGCAGACACTGAATTTCCATTAAAGCCACAAGGTTTCAGTTATTTTCAGAATGAATTGAAAATGTTGAGAGCTGCCATTTTTGCACTCCATCTACTATCATAAACAACAAGCATCCTCAGTGAGGACATGGGTAGAAGCTCTCCAGAAACTGAGGATAATTAACATGAGAGCCAGAGGATATTTGCTTTGTCAGAGCTGCATGATCTTTGAACAGAAGTAAGTGTATTTCACTATGGCAACAGAAAGGCACAAAAATTAAATCACAGCCTGCCAAACAGAGATAGAATCAGCCCCTTTTCTAACCCTGTCTCCTTATAAGAAT